CAAACGCATGAACGGACGGAAGCTCGGACGGACCGGTGGCCAGATGGAGGAACGCAAGCATGGGCGGACAGACTGACGTACACACGGCTTCACGGACGGACAGATGGACGCAAGGGTGAACAGTCGGACAGTGGAACGGAAGGAAGCATGGATTAACAGACAGACGAATGAACTGACGGAAGAAGCACGGACGGATGTATGGACGGGTGAACAGAAGAGGCTTAGGCAGATCGACACACGAATGAACGGACGCTTCAGTCCACTCATCATCATTCATTTCGTGGATATGCTGTGACAGCCACTAATGTCACCTATATATAATATTCACGTGGAGATATACACACAACGCTATCTATTGAGCAACTCATAAATCAGAGGTGGCTACATACGAATACTACGACAACAGAAGAGAGAAGGAACTATGACCTATGGAGGTTCGATCCTAAGATGAATAAGTACTATAGTTATAAATGACTAGCACCTTAGATTAAGGAAAAACTCTTTCATAATAATTAGTCAAACCAGCAATAATACTTATTTAGTATGACGCAGTTTCAGCAAGATGGCAGTTGGTCGATAATTGTCCGCATATACTTATTATGAAATTACGCTTATATATATTTATTTATTTATTAATTTAAAATTTATTTATATCGCATAATGTTGTCGTTGCGTAATGCCACATAGTATGCTTGGGTGTGATCCATGAGCTGCTGCTTGGCTAGTCGACTCAACAAGCCCATTATATCAAGTTTGTTGTGAGAAAAGTGACAGTATGTTGTGCTGAGAATAGTTTGGGTCTATCATTTAGAGCTAACGCTGCATTGTGAATGATGCAAACATGTGAATAATTACGCACAATTTTCCTTCCCTTTCAGTGCTCTGTAGAACTGGAAATTATTTTCTTTTTACCTTTTTATGCACTATTCTACGTTATTAAGATAGTTGTAGATGTAATTGCTAGTACATATATCTGACTCCCAAATGAGGGGCTCTATGCACCATATATCTACACTCTACTTCATAAGTTCCATTCAGTACTGTGGAAGCTACAGGGCCCCTCATTCAAAAGGAAGGGCGATTAGCCCCTTTCCACCTATTCATTCGCGTCGTGTTGTCTTCTCACCAACTCCTTGACCTCTGCTCATCGAGTTGTCTATACCTGCTTATCGCAGTCAAATTGCCTAATTTATCACTAAAAAAATCGGCAGATCACACGTACATGAGAATCGACGTTATGCGAACCATATGGAGGGACGGTGACCGTGTTGCAATTTTGAATAAGCGACACGTCATGAAACGACTATAAATGTATGTACACATGTTGTACGCACAAACATATATTGAATTGTTGCAGATGTTTATATGACCGGTTGTTTGCGCTGCTTGCACTTGCGCAACGATGCGTTTCGGAACATGCGTATTATCATCCACACAAGTTGATATGAAGCGACGATGCTCGCGAGGAACTTTGGCCTGGGCACTGCAACATCAATCAAGTACAGTGCATGGCTACTAACCCCAATCGACATTAACCAGACGTGACGGATGTATCAAGGAAGTGCATATGTAATGTTTATAAAATTGCGCAGGCTGCACTGCAACTACTATTGACGTTTTATGAAGATTAGCGTTTATTTGAAAATCATTTCTAATACCTGGCCTAGCTCTGTGGTAAAATGCTTCATTGCTACGCACCATGCTTGGTTTCAATTCTAGCTGAGACCCCAACATTTCTTTTATTATTCATTGGGTCGACGCTAGTGATGTCGGGTATTTCTTAAGCCTCGCGCGTTCGAATTTCCCATGTGTCTTCTTGTCATTCATGGGTCATCATAATCATCAGCCTGGCTACGCCCACTAGAGGGCAAATACCTTTCCCATGATGAAGCAACCCGGCCATGAAGCAACCCGGTCTTGCGTTATACCCGCAATCTTTTTATTCTCATCAGCCAACATAACTTTCGGTCTCCCCTTCGTGCGTTTGTCTTCTCTGGTAATTAGTTAGTTACCGTTAGCGAGAACCGGTTATCCTGTCTACGTGCTACGTGTCCAGCCCATGTCCATTTATTTTTCTTGATTTCAACTATGATATCTTTAACCCCGGTTCATTTTCTGGCTCACGCTACCTTCTTCTTGTCTATTAATGTTGCACAAGCCATTTTTCTTTCCATCGCTTGCTTCATTCCCCCAATTTAAGCTGAATCCTATTTGTAAGCCTCCGTGTTCCTGCTCCGTAGGTAAGTACTGGCAAGATGCAGCTATTGTGTGTTTAAAAGAAGTGGTTAACAATTTACAGTACTGTACTACGGGAGAGCTGAAAGCCGTCCTTAGTCGACATCCGGTATCATCGACTGATTATGTAGCTTGCTCTTGAGGGTCAAAGGCAGATTACCATTCATGATTTGAGAATGCTTGCCAAATGTGATCTACCGCGACCTTATTCCCCTAGTTATTTCAATCTCGTGGTTTGAATCCACAGTTACTACCTCTCCTAAGCTGACATAATCCATTGCAACTTCCATTGTCTTTTCACGTATCGCAAAATACTGTTTTTTAGAGAGATTGTTGCACATTACTTTAATTCTGTGCATATTGCTTTTCAGACCAACTATTCTAATTTCCGTGTGCACTTCAGTAATCATAAAGTGTAAATCTTTCCCTGTGTCAATCCTCAAGGAAATGTCATCCGCGAATCGCATATTACTAATGTACTCTCCATTAAATTTTATCCCTAACTCTTCCCAGTATAAGGTCCTAAATACCTGTTGTAGACACGCGGGGAATAGCATTGCAGAGATTGTGTCTCTGTCTCTTACACCCTTATTTATTTGAATACTGCCTTTTTCTTTGTGGAGAACTTTGGTGGCTGTGGTTCGTGTGTAAGTTTCTTCGAGTATATTTATGTAGGGTTCTTCGATGACCTGATTCCGTAGAGCCAGCATTACTGCTGATGTCTCGACAGAGTCGAACGCCTTCTCATAATGTATGGAAGTAATGTATGTGGGTTGTTTGTATTCACCACATTTCTCTATCACCTGAGTGATTGTAGGAATGTGGTAAATTGTGGAGTTGCTGGTACAAAATCATGCTTCTTCCTTGGGCTGATTGAACTTTACATCATCTTATTTTAATTAGTTATTTTTTGCAAATAATTTGTAGAGAACAGAAAGTAAGCTGATCGGCCTGTAGTTTTTCAAGTCCTTGATGTCTCCTTTCTCATGAATTAAGATGATGTTGCCGTTTTTCCAAGATTCAGATACGTTGGCCATCGAGAGACACTTTGTATATAAGGTGGCTAATTTTAATTGCGAAGCATTCCTAAGAGAAATTGGGCGACTTTTAGCGTATCTATCTATCTATCTATCTATTCTATCTATCTATCTATCCATCTATCTATCTATCTACCTATCTATCTATCTATCCATCCATCTATCTATCTATCTATCTATCTATCTATCTATCTATCTATCTATCTATCTTTCGATCTATCTATCTATCTATCTATCTATCTATCTATCTATCTATCTATCTATCTATCTATCTATCTATCTATCTATCTATCTATCTAGCCGCCTACGACATTTAGCTCTGCTGGCCGTTTCAATGACGGTAACGATACCAAACTTGGTATGGCATAACATGACCATATGAAGAACATGTTTCACTAGTCATGACATGAAAATTATGATATCTCAGTCATGGATCTCACGATTTACATTTCATGATCCTGCAGCTCTTGTGGTGGTTTCGTTCACATACCATGTTGCTAAACTGGTATGGTAGGACAAAATTGCATGGCGAACACAACCGACAGACCCGAACATAAAAATCACGACATGCGTGTCATGAAATAACACGACTACATTCCACGCTCATGATCCACTCGCGGCCGTTTCGCTAGCGTCACATATACCAAATTTGGTATTTCTGTACGTGAAAGGTTGACAAACGTGTGTGACTGGTGCAAACATGACAATCATGAAATGCGTATCATGTAACAACATGACTACATGCCATGCTCATTATGCACTGACGGCTGTTTCCCTAGCTTTACTTATACCAAATTTGGTATTACGGGACGTGAATGAATGACGAAGGTATGATACTGGTGCAAATATGGTAAACATGAGATGCGTTTTGTGTAACAACATGACTACATGTCACACTCATGATGCGCTCGTGGCTGTTTCACTAGCTTCACATATGTCGAATTTGGTATTACGTGACTTCAATGGATGACGAAGGTATGCGATTGGTGCAATCGGGATAATCATGAGGTGCGCGTCATGTGAGAAAATGACAGCGTGCCACAGTCAAGGCGCCAATGCATTTCGGCGTGACGCGGTGTGCGTGCTTGCCTGCATTCATTTTGTCGTGTCACCCCGGCGTTGCCTCCCCAGGCACTAGTCCTGCAATACATTCGCAGGCGTGCACCGCGCTGCGTTGCTGTGATGTATACGCGATTCAGCGCGTCCGGCGTTTCTCCGTCGCGAAACCAAGGAGACGCAGTGTTGTCTGGGTAACGCATCGCAAAATGTAGCATGTAGCATTTCACACCTGTTGCCATCGGGCCATGCTGACGGATGCCGGTCGTGCCGATCGCGCCTGGCGTAAGACTATAGAGTGCTCGCATTTTGATGACGTAGTCTCGCTGGGCCAACCGTGCGCGCGCGACAACGCTACATTGGACTATATTGGGCCCTTCAGGATGCGCTCGCGGCCATTTCGCTAGTTCCACATAAACCAAATACGATAATCCTGAAATGCGTGTCATGTACGAACATGCAACATACCACGCTCATAGCGTGCTCGCGGTCATATTACGTGGCGTGTAGAGATGAGGTACGGCATCATTTATCTCGAATTCGTAACGTTTTGCTGATTTTAAAGTGACAAATCAAGCTTTCTTATTCGTGCTTCGCGTGTCATTGATTTCTACTGTACGTGGGTTCTGCCAATTTTTTTAACACAATTTTTCCGCCATCTTTCAGGAGGTCTGTTAATACTTTATCCTCACCAGCGGATTTGCTTCTTTGCATTTCCTCTAGGATTTTGCTTACTTTTCCTGTCGTTCCTGGTAAGATGTCAAATTTTCCTAGACTAATATATTTTCTCACAATATCATCTTGGTGCCTTTGACATCTCTACAGCTTTCTTTAGAACTCCTTTGTCGTCCTAACTACAATATTCTTATTGGTTATTACATTGCCTTTCTTGTTTCTCAATGCATACATACGATTTTTGCCTACGCACAAGTCTGTCTTCTACTACTTTTTTACAGCCTTCTCAATTGCTTTCATGTTATACTTCCTGCTTTCGGCTACTTTACGCTTATTCATTAACTTCGAAATCTCCACTAGCTCTATTATGTCGATTCTATTTGAAGCTTTCATTGTTTATCGTTTTTTTATAAAGTTTTTCATCTCCTGAGATAATTTGCTAGTTTCCTATCTAGTTACTGAACCTTCAACGTTTATTGCACACTCTGCGATGATGCTAGTAAGATTACTGGTTGTCATGTCAACGCTAACGTCGGTTATCTCTTTTAGTGTCTTGAATCGAATCTCCAGCGAAACTTTGAAGGGCTGTATTTTTTCTTTCACCACCAGTTCATTATTTAGATTCTTGCGTATCAGTTTTGGTCTTTGCTTTTTTTAAATCTGGGTAAATACGAGCTCTTATCATTCTATGGACACTGCATGTAATCTTAGCAACTACTTCTACTGATTGCACAATATCTGGGTGTGCACACAGAATGAAGTCGATTTCATTTTAAGTTTCGCTATTAGAACTTCGCCTCGTCCACTTACGATTAGTCCATTTTCAGAAGAAGGTAATAATAATTCGTAAATTATTACTTTCTGTGAACTCTACTACTAACTCCCATATGCTATATCTAGTGCAGATGCCATATTTCCCCACTGAACTGTCTTCGCCCTGTTTCTTGCCCACTTGGACACTACACTCGCCCATAAGGATAGTATACTGTGTCTTTACTTTTTTATTGGCTGAATCTAAGTCTTCATAAATGCGTTCAACCAAATGATCATCATGGCTTGATGAAGGCCTGTAGGCCTGAACCACCTTCATCTTGTACTTTTCTGAAACCTAATTGTGATACTCGCCGCCCTCTCACTGACGCTATAGTATTCCTCAATGTCACCATATGTTTGTGGATGAGAAACCCCACTCCTCTTTTTTTTCTGTCAACTAAACCACGGTAGCATAGGACGTGTCCATTCTTTAGCACTGCATAAGCTTCTCGTGTCCTCCTAATTTCTCTGAGCCCTATTACATCCCATTCAATGCCCTCTGATTCCTCGAAAATGTACAGCTAGAAAAGGCTCATTAAATACTATTCTAGTGTTGAAGGTAGCCAAATTCAGATTCTAAAGGCTGCCTGTCCGTACCCAGGAATTCTTGGCACACTCCGCTGTGTAACAGGTCTGACTGCCGCCTTCGACAGTTGCTTTGCAGCTGCTGGGGACTGAGGGACAAGGATTAATTCCTGTATTTATGAGATGTTGTGGCCAGGCGCGTCACCAGGGTGGCCGATCCTGCTCTGGTGAGGGAGTGAATTACTGGCAGAAGGGCGCCAGTGAGGTCGAACCCCAGACCACTTTTTGTCTTTTTTTAACGATTATTAAATTTCTCACGCATTTTAGGTAGTAATGTATTTGAGAATTGTTCGACACCTCCATTCGAACCGATTTTTTATGGCATGCTTGGCTGCTGCACTCTGTCTAAGTAGATGATCTGTTGCAGTTTATAAGCAATGTAAAAAACCACCTGACCGCCTATAGGCTGTCAACTTCTCCTGGCACCTAGCTCGCCTCACCTTTTTTTCCTAATTGTCTGAAAATCTAATTTTCCTATTTAAAAATAGCAGCCTGTGTTGTTTCAAACTTCTAGCCTTGCGAGATTTTGCCGGACTAATGCCTGGAATTACACTTCTTTTCACGCTTGTGATTTCACCTAACTTCTCAATGTCACGCTCGACATTGACATTGTTGGTTTGAGAATGTCCGCTATATCGGAGTTGTGCTTATTTCTAGTGGTCGCACCTCTACTTTGACGTTTCCGGTAAGCTGACGAGTCGCGCATCTGTTTTCCGTTAAATCGGCTACATCCATGTGATGGTTACGATGAGCGCAAAAGTCGCGGGTATTTGAGAGCATGAAAATAAACGGGAAAAGTTTGTAGCCGCGACAGGCCTGAAGCCAGTCTCTGCCTTCAGGCCTGTATTCTACTTTGCTGACGTTTTGGGCTAGAACATAAAAAAAACACTCTGTTAAACAGACAAAGAAGGAGACAGTGGCCCTTAGGCGGCATTAAGCTATACGTATTAGTATCAGTAAATGCATCAACGGTTAGCCTAATAATGCAAAAAAAAGGAGGGAACTGAAGGGAAGAATTATTTATAATTCAAGAAAGCGGTGGAATGAAAAAAATTGGCCCCGAATTGGCATGTTACACTGCAAATGTCGTCGAAATACAGTAGTCTTGCGTCTGGAGAGAGGTAACAAAATTTTTATTCGATGTTCTGCCGAAGGAAATCGGTGATTGGTACTGTGGAGACGCTGCTGCGTTAGAGTGCCTCGAGCCTGTAGCGGAGGCGAACGAGCGCATCGAGGCACGCTAGACACGAGCGCCACCTGGCAGTTATCTTCGAAAACGAAGGCATGCGCACCCGCGGAGAAGAGATACGCGTCTGTCTCGGAGGTGATAAGGTGTAGAACGCAAAGTGACAGGCAGGTGCCACCACCGTGTCGTCGTAGCTAAGCGTTGGAAACACTTACCTTTTTGAGCATCGCGTTGCGCTGTCAGCACAGTGCGATAAATGCTACAGCACTTGGAGTTACTTTTGTGTGTCTCTTTTGTCTCTTTTAGTATAAAAGCACCCATACAAAACAAAGTCGTTTTTCATGGCGCCTCAGATATGCGAAATAATTGCTTTTGATTTCACAATAGCACACCTATGAACACAGCAGCTTGAGCAATAATGGTGGGCGCTGCGGATGGGGTCAGCCGTTTGGTGCCGTTTGAGGTATCAATAAGAGTTGACAAACAGACAAATTTACAGACAGACAGACAGACCAAAATTTTTCCGTCGAAAGTCCCCAAGAAAGACTATCGTCTTAAAAAACTTGTACAAAAGCAATGTTGTCTCCGCATCACGTACCACAAATCTTCAACTCTAATTGCTGGACTCCGACGACTCTTGACAGTAACTCTAGCACACAACAAGTCCACGCGAAAATGTTTGCTATATCACAATACAAACTAAAATACAGAAAAAAATGTCACTTGTGCTCAAAAAATAAACAGATGCAACAAACTTTCATAAGCATCTTCTACTTTATCAGAACAATGAACAAAAAAGAGGTGCAAGGAACATTTATTGTAATTTCAAAGCCTATCAGTACAGCCATAGGCCGAAGACAGAAACGTCGTTACTGTGACCCCGATAAAGAACAATCAAGCACGTACAATAAAGAATCTACGCATATAAGTTTAAAAGCGAGCGTCAAATATAAAAAAATAATGAGAACAAAAATTGTGCAAAACAATGAGACAACCCACACAAAACGACCCAGAAAAGCAAGCTTCGTTTCATTTATTACGACTGGCTGGCAGCGCAGCGCAGCGCAGCACAGGGATAGTGCAGAGAGACCACTGCTTCCTTCTAGTAAACTGCAAACTGTGCTCAAATACACACATAAGGTCACCATATTGATCGTTGTGGCAAGTGTTGAGGCAATATGTTGGCTGTTCGTGATTTCTAGTCACAATTGCAAGGCTCTGTGTGTGACGCAGCTGAATGGTTTAACGTCCCAAAACCACCACATGATTATGAGAGATGCCGTAGTGGAGGGCTCCAGAGATTTGGACAACCTGGTGTTCTTTAACGTGCACCCAAATCTGAGCACGAGGGTCTACAACATTTCCACCTCCATCGGATATGCAGCCGTCGCCGCCGCGATTCGATCATGCACCCTGTGGGATATACTAAATTTGCTATCACGTTACGTGAATAGATGAGGACGGTAAATGACACATCCAAACATAATAATTATGACACGGAAGCGATGTATGAAATCATTTACATCCACCTAATAACGTTGGGCTGATTTTACAGTGACGTGTGAACATTCCTCATTTGTGTTTTGCATATCATCGATTGCCACTGTACGTGGGATCTGCCTTTTTTTCCCGGGCTTCAAATTTCCCAAGGTCTTCTTGGAATCAGGGTCGTCTTACATTCGAATCTATGCGGTACTGTCGCTGTTTTTCTGGTGTTCTCACATAAAGGCCAAATTGATAACACTATCCCTACTCATCGTATGTTCTACCTGGGGGTTAAAAGCGCAAGAGCGGGAAAAGTAAACACCACTGAAGCTGAAAGTTGGCAGATCGCAAGCACAGTGGGAATCGTTTATATTCAAAGGACGAATGGGAAATGTTGATATGCCACTCTAACACTAGCACGACGTTACGAGGTGGAGGTAAATGTTGCCATGCATGACTTTCATGTCATGATTATCATGTTTGAATGTACCGTTTACCTTCGTCATCAATCACGTCACGTGATACAAAATTTAGTATATGTGGAGCTAGTGAAACGCCCGCCAGCACGCAATGAGCATGGTGTGATGTCATGTTCTTAGATGACACTCGTGTTATAATTATAATGTTTGCACTAGTCATATATCTTCGTCATCCATTGACGTCACGTAACCTCATATGTGGAGCTAGCAAAAGGGCCGCGAGCGCATCATGAAGGACCCAATATGCTCTAATGTAGCCATGACGGACGCGCACGCTAGGCACATCGACGCTACCTTAGCAAAACGCAAGCACTCTATAGTCTGATGCCAGGCGTGACAAGCGTCCATCGTCGTGGCCCAACGGCAACCAGCGCGAAACGCGACATGCTGCATTTCGCTCAAACGCCGGCGTTGCCATGCCAGGCACCCGTTCTGCCATGTGATCAAAGGCGTGCGCCGCGCTGCGAGGCTTATGACGCATGCGCATTTCAGCGCGTCTTGCGTCCCTCCGTCACGCAAAAAGGGAAAC